TCTCTCTCTCTCTCTCTCCGTGCGGAGGGACGCTGGCACCCGGTTTTTTTTATACTCCGCCCCCCGCGCGCTCGGCTCCCGCGCGCCCGCCTCCAGGGGCGGCTCAGCGCCCGCCGCGGCCCGGGGCCACGTGCCCCGACGCCAAGGCTACGCAGCAGGGAGTGCGATTTGCACTAAGTCCGGGCGGCGGAGGGCAACCAGAGCTACTGTCGCCAGCACCTGCTCCTGTGCCCGTGCTCGGGGGGGCCGCTGGCGCGGCGGAGCAGAGGGGTGCCAAAAGGCGAACAAAAGCGACATGAACAGAAACTTTCGGCGCCCCGCGCGGTATACCTGGATCTGCGCTGGCAATTTGGTGGGGGTCCCGAAGGGGATGGGGATGGGGATGGGGATGGGGATGGGGATGAGGATCGGTCAAGCGATACCGAGCCCAACTGTCGTCATGCCTCGCCGGCGCTGCCGCCCAAATCCGCCGATCCGGCGTGCGAGTTTCAAAGACCAGCCCGAACCTCAATTCATGAGCTTCAGCTCTACTGGTGGGCGGGTGCCGGAGTGGCTCTGCCGAGGTAGGGGGAGGGGGAGGGGGGGTCGATTTAATCCCCGGGGCGGAATCGGAACTCCAGCTCACTCCGGGGCGGCCCCCTCGCCCAGGAGGGCCCCCACATGGGCCAAGAGGGCCCCCAATCGCCGAACGATCGCTACAACACGCCCAAGATGTCACCAAGACGGCTCCAAAAACCTCCTAGATGCCCTCCCTAAAAAGGCCTCCCAAAGAAGGCCCCCCCAAAAAAACAATGTCCCATTCCCCCAGGAAAACATACAATGTTAGCACATTCGCCTCCTGGGCCTTCAGAGCGTCGCAGTCGCCCTAAGAGAGCCCCAGAGCGGCCCAAGAAGCCGCCAAGAGGTTTCCAAGACGGCCAAAGCGGGCCCCAGGACGGGCCCGAGAGGCGCCTGAGAGGGCGCCAAAACGGCGGACAAATGCCGAAGACAGCCCAAAAAAGGCCCCAGCAGGCCCCCAAAGGCCCTCAAGAGGCCTGAAAAGGCCCCAAGACGCTTCCAACTGGCCCCGAAGACGCCCCCTGAAGCTCTCGAAAGGCCCCCAAGAGTCTCACAAAATGCTTGCAAAACGCGTTCTAGAGGCCTCCAAGCTGCCTCCGAACGCCCCCCCGAGAAGCCCAAAACTGGCCCCAATGTTTTTCACGGCGTTTACGTCCGAACGCAAGCGTTGTGATATAACCGGTTCGTCCAAGCTTTCATATTTTCTCCCGTTTTCGGTGACCTTCACATCCATGATCTCACAGGGCCCGCAGAGGACCGCGCGAAAGCCCCAGATACCCCAAAAACACCACGATTCCCAGCAGAGGCCGGGACGCACAAGGCCCCACAAAGAACTGGGACGCGCGCAGCTCTAGCACAAAGCTTTACAGAGAGTGCGCCAAATCGGCGAGGCGTCAACCCAAAGAGGGCCGACACCTGGCCCCAGAGAGGCTTTCCAACAACCGACGAACATTTCCAACAACCGCCGGAAATCTCCTCATCATCGTCATGCTTCTCCTTCCCCCCCTCCCCCTCGTCAATTTCCCGTGTCCTCCTGCTCCTCCTCATCCGCAGCATCCTGCTACTCTTGCCCGTCCCCTCCCACCCCCTTTCCACATCATCATGATCCTCCTCCTCCTCCTCCTCCTCCTCCTCCTCCTCCTCCTCCTCCCACTCCGTTGCCTCCATTCCCCAATCTTCATCATCATCCTCACCGCTCGCCGTCGTCGCCGGTCATGACCGCCATCGTGCGCTTCCGGCAGCAACGGGAGCGTCCCGGATCGGCGGCACTGGCCGGAGGCCAGTACAATACATGGCTGTGCTGATGGGGCGGACGCTCGGCCGACGACGGTTCCGTCGGGGCCCCGGCTCGCCGGGTCGACCCCTCAAGCAAGCGGGGCGGCCGGGTGTCCATATCAGGCGGGGTGGCTTGGAAAAACGCATTCCTCTGGCCGCGCGACTGCCGGCGGCGCCAGGGCAGCCCCCTTCCGTTTGAAGAGCACGCCACCTGGGGCCGAACCCCCCCTTCCTCCTCCTCGACCACCTCCTCGCCTTCGCCCTCCTCGCCTTCTGTCACCTCCTCCTCACCCCCGACTTTCTCACCCTCCCCGTTCCAGGACAACGCTGGAATTCACTTCAAAGGTCGAGTCGTGTCGCCTAACATGGTCCGTCTGGACAGCTCACGCTCCGTGCGAAACCGCAGGACGCCTTGCAGTGGCCTTCTATCGCACAGTATCATGACTCACCCCATACGCAGTCACGGCAAATATCCAACGCTGGGAAGTCTGGATCATCCAGGTGGACATAGATGATGACCGCCGCGAATGTGTGCAGTACAAGGGTTCGTGCTCCAATGTTTGGCAAACCGTCAACGTGCCGTCGGGCCCGTCCTTACCTGTGGCTGCGCTGTCGGTGATCACGCACGCCGCCCACAGCGTGACCCATGCCATGAGGCTGTGGACGACGACGCTGTGGTCGTGTGAGGCGTGATCGATGACTGCTGCCGCGTGTCCTGCGGCTATGGAGGACTCTGCGGTCGTCGTGGTCACTGTGGTTGTGTGATAGATGGTCGTGGAGGACTCCGTCGTTCTCATCACGGAACTGGTGGTCGACACTGTTGTCGTCCATCGGTTCCCGCCCCCGCAGGGGCAAAACATGTTAGCAGGGTTGAAGTCACCGTCATAATAGGAGCAGCCATTCTGCATGACCACGGGCAATCCCACGTGAGGCATCCAGTCAAGTCGCTATCAACTTGCGCCTCACGCATGGCATTGCCGCGCGTATACAGTACGTTCGAAAGGGTCGTGCATGCCACACGCTTCCCACAATGCAAACAGGAGACCGCCGACACTAAGTCCACGTGCGCCGAATTATCCCACCAGTCTTCGGTCGGAGAACATCCAGAATTTGGCCACGCGTCGACGCAATTTGATATACATTAACAGCCATGGCGAATCGCATGGTGTCGCCCTGGCAGTACTCAGAATTGGAAGGGCACCGATGTTTAAGCATTTTTGGTTGAAGAAACGAAACCATTCGACGCCGAGTAGGTAGCGCTTACACCATCGCTTGTCGCGAAACGAAAAAATTCTGCGCGGCGCTGGAACACAGTCCCCCGTTGACGATGATGGGTCGCTGGCACTGTCCCTCCCGCCACACAGGAAGGAGGAGACGAGAGAGAGAGAGAGAGACAAAGAGATACGCAAAACAAACCTGGCGAAAGGCCCAATCGTATGAAGTTGTGAATACCGCAGTTGTGGGTATCGTCTTCAGTGGGGTTTCGCATGGGCCACGAAACGCTGTGCAGGGTGGGGGAGACGCACGGGCCTTCGGTGGAGCACCCTATGGGGCCACGAAGCGCTGCACGGGGTGGGGGTCGCATGTGACCTGTTCCACCGGGGCCTCCTGTGGAGTTCCCGAGGAGGCCCCGAAACGCTGTACTGGGCGGGGGACACGCATGTGAACTGTTCCACTGGAGCCTTCGGTGGGGCTCCCTATGATGTCACGGAACGCTGTGCTGGGCGGGCGAGACGAATGTGGACACCGCCACTGGGCCCTTCGTTGGAGCTCCCTGTGGGGTCACGAAGCGCTCTACTGGGTGGGGACACGCATGTGGACACCGCCACTGGGGCCGCCGGTGGAGCCCCCCATGGGGCCACGAAGCGCTGCACTGGGTGGGGGAGACGCATGTGGACACCGCCACTGGGGCCTTCGGTGGAGTTCCATATGGGGCCACCGACCGCTGTGCTGGGCGGGTGAGACAACTGTGGGCACAGCCACTAGGGCCTTCGGTGGACCTCCCTATGAGGCCACGACACGCTGTGCTGGGTGGGAAGGGCCCACGTGGACACCGCCACTGAGGCCTTCGGTGGAGCTCTCTGGGGGGGCACGAAGCGCTGTAGTGGGTTGTGGAGACGCGCGTGGACACCGCCACTGTGGCCTTAGGTGGAGCTCCCTACGGGGCCCGAAGCTCAGTGCTGGGTGGGGGAGACGCATGTCGACACCGCCACTGAGGCCTTCGGCGGAGCTCCGTTTGAACCCACGAAGCGCTGCACCGGGTGGGGGAGACGCATGTGGACACCGCCACTGGGGCCTTCGGTGGAGCTCCCTGTGGGGTCACGAAGCGCTGCGCTGGGTGGGGGAGATGCATGCGGACACCGCCACTGGGGCCTTCGGTGGAGCTCCTTATGGGACCACGAAGCGCTGTGCTGGGTGGGGGAGACGCATGGGGCCACGAAGCGCTGCGTTAAGTGAGGCACGCGTGCACTTAAAGAGACAGGAGGGGGAAGAGGAAGGAGGCCACACAGGGGAGAGAAAGGGGGAACGGGTTTTTGGCAAAGCGGCGCACAAGCCGCGCTCCACGTTCGCACCTGCGCGCGCGCCTTGCTTTTGCAGACGCGCGGGTGCGTTCTGGCACGCTCGCGGCCGCCCGGCTTAGGGGCGACCGCCAGTGTCGAGGGAGCGTCAGAAGGGGTGGGCGGGCACCTGATATTGAGCCACTGGCTACAAAGACCAATTACACCTAAGAAACCTAAGGAATGGATGAGTTAAGAATTGTCGATATGGATCTTGGGATCGATTGCGAGATCGATAATGAGATCGAGGGTAGAATCCATAGCGAGGACGATTGTAAGGTCGATCGTGAGACCGAGAGTGAAATCGACTCAATGAGATCGATCGCGAAATCGACCGCAAGATCGTTCATGCGATCTCTAGTGGCATCGCTTATGAGATTGATCATGAAATCGATTGTGAGATCGATGGTGAGATCGATCGAGAAATCGGTAATGAGATCGATGGTGAGAACGATCGATAAGAAGATCGACCAGGACGACGGGAAACCGGGAACCCCGCTGCCCTCCGAAATCGGCCCGGAACCGGGAACCTGGGAACCCGGGAACCTGGAACCGGGAACCCGGGACCCCAGCCTGCCACCCAAATCGGCGGGGAACTTTCGCCAAATCCTTCAACTTCCGCGAGGGCCCCTACAGTGCAAGCGGCGCGCGAGCGGGCGGCGCTCCGCGCGGCCACTAGCCCCATCCTTGAGGCCTCCCTGGGCGCGGCGCCTGGCCGCCCCGGCTGGGCCCCCCCGTAGCTGCGCGACGCAGCCGCCGGGGTCGCCCCGCCGGCCGCGCCTGCGAGGCGCGGGCAGGCATCGCAGAGGTGATGCAAGAGAAGAATAGGGCAGCCGCCACGCCGCCCCGGCCGGGCCCCCCCCCCGCAGCTGCGCGACGCAGCCGCTGGGGTCACCCCGCCAGCCGCGCCTGCGAGGCGCGGGCGGGCATCGCAGAGGCGATGCAAGAAAGCCAGAGGGCGGCCTCGGACTCAGAGCGGCGCGTCGCACGGGCCCTCTTCCGGCTGGCCGCCCTCGCCGCCCCCGCCAGCGCGGCGGCCCTTGCCGCCCCTGCTGCCCCTGCCGCCCCGGTCAGCCCGACGGCCCTTGCCGCCCTTGCCGCCCTGGCCGCCCTTGCAGCGCTTGACCTTTGTCCTTGCTTTAAGGCCCGCCCCAACCTATCTCGAAAATAGGCATCGACTAGTTGTGCTACACTTTAGCAAGAGCTGTAGCATAGTAAAAGAAAAATCGCACAATAGGTTTTACAAGCATGCCAAAACTATCTCACATCTATTCCATGACAACACGTTGGAAAGTATTATATTCCTAGAGTATGCCAAACATTGGGAACATGTGTTCTGTATTTTTGTTTACCAATATTTCATGAGATCTCCAGCTCTCAATGCGGCTTATCTTGTTGGTTGGTTATTGTGCGTTGTCGCTTCTATGTTTAATGCTGTTATTGCTGATATGACAGTTCTTAATCATGACGGTGCATCGCGAGCATCGCCCGCTTCGGAAACTCATCGAGCTTGATCATGCCGCGGCATCGCGAGCAGTGCTCGAGCTTACGCATGCATGAGGATGATGGCGGTAACAAGTATGGATTATTGTGGTGAGGGTGTCGATGGTTGTAGCCGCGTTGGCGCGAGCGCCGCCGCCTTTGCCGCAATTGCCGCCCCTGCCCGAGCTCGCTGAGCTACAACGGTCGCGTCGCGATCGTCATGGCGCAGTCGATCGACGCGGTCACGGCCGCGCGGGAGGTACCCGCCTTAGTTTCCGCGGCGAGCTTTGCTCACGTGGCGCTGTACTTACAATTGTGGTACAAAAAGCGTTCGTTGCTGTTGTGGCGCTGCAGCGCTGGCGAGCATTGTTCGCATGGCGTTGACAACGCCAACGTTGCAAAATGGCAAGCTTTGCTCGCGTCGAGAGAGGCATGCGACGAGCGCATGCGCAATTAAAGCCAGCGTTGCTGGCGCGAGGTCTAAGCGGAGCAAGGAGGAGCGCGCCCCCGCGCTGGCGCCGCCCGTTAATGAGCAGCTCCGGCTGTAATAAGCTGGCCAGGAAGCCGAGGGCGTCTCGGAATTCCAGGCCAGGCTCCTCGGAGCCATCAAGAGTTGCGGCCTGTGCGAGTCGAGGTACGCGCACGCGATGAAGGCGGGGGTGCACCCCGACGATCGCGACGAGGCTGGACTCGCGCAGTTCGACATCCACGACTTGTTGGCCGTCCTGACGGTCAAGGGGTGGGACTCCGACGAGACGTCGAAGGCGCTCGCGTGCGAGGGCCGTTCGGCTTGCGCCATTCCCGCAAGGGCAGTCGAAACGCGCGTCCGCGTTTCGAGCAGCAATTCCTTTGGCGAAAGCAAAACGCGCGCGCCATGCGCGCTATTGCGAGTGTCCGCTCGCGAGATCGGGTCGACGAGCGTGCGCTCGCCTTGCAAACCTGCGCAGCGTGGGCTGGTGCATCCCAATCGGCGACACCAAGATCCGCGACTTCAACGTGAAGTTCGCGGTGGGGTCGGACGGCTTGCCCTCTCTGATAGAGGACCCGAGCGAGCTGCAGGTCGCCACTGTGCGATGCTCGCACACGGCTGTATCCATGGCGCGGCGCGGTCGATGAACCAGGATCCATCAAACGAGCACGGCCGCGTCTCCATGGCTCGCATCTGCGAGCGACAGCCGTCGTTCAAGCAGCCATTGGAGCGCGGCTTGAAGTATAACGTCACCAGCACCCTGCTGGTGATGCGCTGCCCAGAACTGATGAAGCCCATGGCCCAAATCGGCAGCGCGGACCACGGGGCCGCGCGCCAGGCCACCACGGCGCAGCGCGCCAAAAAGCTCTGGATGACCGCGGAGCTGCAGCCGAGCCTCGAAACGGCCGAGGACCGGGCGAAGGTGCAACGCATTGCGGCGCGCGGCATGCCGAGTGAGTTCGAGAGGGAGCTCTCGCGCTGGACAATCGGCTCGCGCCATGATCGCCGCCGCTCATGGCGAGCATGCTCGCCGCCCCGAGACATGGCAGGCGCGAGTGGGACAGGGGGGCCGGGGTGGGGGGTCGAGGAAAGGCTGAAAAGAGAAACGGCGTGCCTTGAACGCCTGACTGATCCCCGACGTGGCGGGGCAGTGCGGACGTCGGCTTCGTCCGAGCGTGGGGCGGTGGGAAGGAGGGCGAAAGGCTCGACATCCTGGAGAAGTTCGAGCGGAGCCTCACCACGAAGCGCACCATCGCCCCCGACGACCTGCAGGCGCTCAGCCAGCTACAGTAATCGGAGGGCCCGCTGTGGGCGCTGGCGATGATGGAAGCCCAACTGGCGTCGCCCCCGCGGTGGGCGACGCCAAGAAGCGAAAGCGCGCTCTGGTCCACCGCGGACTACAAGAGCGTGGGCCACGGTGGGAAGAACAGGGACAAGGCCGCCCGAACGGCGAACATCATACACGCTTGCAGGACGTTCGCTGCAGCCTACACGCACGTGGGCGACGTCGCCAGCAGAAACACATGTCGCAGCTGGACATCCGCCTGGCCATGATGGCGATGGGGCGGGGGGTCGGGGGGGGGGGGCGGGGGCAGGGGGCGGCGAGCGATGCTCGCTGGGAAGTGAGCGATGGAAAGCGATGCTCGCTCGATAGCGCAACCCGCTGGGCGGCACGCGCGCGAGCGCAGTAAGCCAGGCGTTGGGCAAGAAGTGCGATGACCGCAAAGAGTACCACTCTATGGTCGACGTGGTGGCCGACTTATGGGAGGCCATCATCGCCGACGAGATGCGGATTCGGATTGTGGCGTTGCCCACGCTGGATGTCCAGCCAGGCGTCGGCGACCTTGGCGAAAGCGAAAAGCCGCCTCCTAAGAAGGCCAAGGCGACGCCCGCGGCGTCCCGAGGGACGGCGCCCCTATCCATTATGGACGGGGGGTCGGTCGACCCGCGGGCCTTTAAGGCCAAAGGCTTCGAGGTCGACGCCACCGTCACGCCGCGCGGCACGAAGGCGGGCGTGCCCACGATCACGGCGATCAATGATCAGACCGCCCACTTAATTAAGTGGACGGCCAGATCATGACATCGCGAAGAAGATGAGCGAGGTCATCGACTGTTACGCGGTAGTCGCGATGACCGAACCCAAGGCTCGCGCATTGTAGTTCGCAAAAGGAAAGGCAGAGGCAATGCCTAATAAAGACGAGCTGTGCTCGCTGACAGAGTCGGGGCCGGTTGGGGCAACGGGGTGGGGGAGGGCGGGATGGCGAGGGTGCGCATGATGGTGGGTTGCCAGGTTGTCGATTGCACGAAGCTCGACAAGGGTCGGCATGCGAAAGATCACGCGTCCGAGTCTGTGAACGCGCGCTGGTGGGTCGCAGTCGACCCGGCCGATGACGGCAAGATCTTCGCCGTGCAGACAGGCGTCCCGCGGTGTGGCGAACTCGCGAGCAACGCTCGCACTCGCGATCTAAGATCCTCCGATCCCGCCCCGAGCTTGCGAGCTAAGCTCGCATGTGATCAGCCAGATGCAGTGACAGCACACCACCCGTATAGTATACCCCACCGCCCAGGAGGGCAAGGGCGAGACGCCACTGATTGCGACGAGCTCCTTCAAAAAGGGCGAGCTGCAGCTCGCAGCGATGTTTGGCAGACTCACCATCGATAAGCAAACCTATGGCGAGACAACCATCATCAACAGTGGGGGCTTCGTTTCAGCTGTGGTGGTGCCCTCGATACTTCAACTTGACGGCGTCGGTTTTTGTGCAACCGTTCAGGGCAAGCGCGATAGCATCGGCGACGAGGAGGAATCATTTGCGAGCCCGTTCTGGCATGTCCAGTTGGCCCATCAAGGAGGCAGCAATGTCGAGCTTCGCTCGCTCGAAGTCTCGGTCTTGGACTACGCGGTGCTCGCCCCGATGCGGGCCAACGTGAGGGGCGTCAAAGAGGGGCAGCCCATTGTGGGCCCGCTCCAGGACAAGAGCGGCGACGCGGGCGGCGCAGTCGGCAAGGGCAGCAACGCCGCCAACAGCGGCAAGGGCGGCAAGGGCGGCTGCGAGGGCGACAAGGGCGGCAAGGGCGGCAAGGGCGGCAAAGTGCCTGTTCGAAGCAGGGGGCGGGGCGCGTAGGACGCACCGACGCCGTGCCAAATATCGGCCACGCGAACGCTTATAAACATTTAAACGCTCGAGCCTTTTCCCCTTTCACCTCCCGCCCAACGCGGCGCCACGATAACTATCATTGACGACGTGGCGAGCAATGCTGGCCAAGGCCGCGCACCGCGCGCGATCGGCGCATCGGGGCGCATGGGGTGATGTGCGCCACGCGCGCTCCCCAAGCACCGCGAAGCCGCGCGGCGCGCTGTGCGCGCGCGCGGGGGCCCGGCGGGCGCCACGGCGCCGAAGCGCCCTCGCCCTGCGAGGGTGCAGCGCGACGCCGTGGTGGTCTACGGCGGCAGCGACGCGAAGGAGCGGCGCCCGTGGCTGCCCGACCTCCTGGCGATCGAACTGAAGGAGTTCGTTCGCCTAGACCGAGGTGGCCGCGAGTTGGCTCGTTTTTTTGTCGTCGCTCGTGTCGCGCGTAGCGCGTGCCGTATGTAGGCAGCAGCCCGTGGACAGATATGCGCCAGGCTTCTCGGCTATGACACGCGCAGCGGCAACCCGATGCAGGGCGCCGAGGGGCGCCTGCAGGTCGCGGCGCTGCGCGACGCAGCGGTGGACTGCTACATCGAGCAGAACAAGCCGCAGGCCATTGCATTTATATTTCGAAATGTTTCCGTGCATGCGAGCTGGGCTCGCGATCTGATACGGCACGCGAGCCATGCTCGCAACCTGTGCCCCCGCTAGGTCTCGATGGCCGACAAGAATCCGTCAACCACCGCTGTCTTGGAGTCGGGGGGCAAGCTCTTCCTGGCGGCGAGAGTACCGCGACACCTGGAGATCACGCGCCCAGGGTTCAGCTCGATGGGTCGGGAGTTCCCCCCCCCGCACTACGCTGGTGAAGGCCACCCCGAACAAGGGCGAGAAGCTGCACATCGAGTTCACAGAGGGTAACATGAAGCATGCTGCTCACGCGCGCCCGCACACACATTTCAATCCATTTCCGAACGCAGAGGATTCGCAATATCGAGCGCGCATGCTCCGACCAGCGGGCTATGCTTGTTGCGTGCACCGACGCTTGCAAGTT